TGAAAATGATCATATATTAAAGTATCAACAAATAGATCTTCAGGTAAAAACACGGCTACGTTTTAAATATATTAATATTAATATATTAAGCATCAATGAATGAGCATTACTTTTTAAAGCCAAAAAAATTTTTTAAAAACAAATTGTTTGTCATAGAAAATATGTTTGTAAATATGTAAAGATTTTTGCTTCGCTTTTTAATAATTAACAATTTTATGAAAATATACTTTTATAAAATTTTTTCTTGTCTTCCGTCTATATTACCCACAGTTAAAAAAAAGAAGAAAGATGCTATCTAAATCATTATGAATTTGAACAATTATACTAAAATTATCACGAAAATTATTATTGCATTTCTGAGCATAACTCTCAAATATAAAAAATCCATGAAAAAAAAAATCGAGACAAAATTTTTTTTACATCCCTTTTTAAGGCTGAATTGAATGGTGATGGTTTTTTTAAAATCCAACATCAGAATTTATATACTAATACAATAGGACTGGGAAAACTTATCATCAAATTAAATGACAAACCATAAATGCCTTAGTTTTTTATAATTATGCGAAAAATTATTAATAATGAAAATAGCCAAAGACATATTAAATTTGTCTTTATTAATTAAAAATATTTAAAAGGAAGTTTTGTATACTTGACATACTAAAATGATTATAAATTAAAATGCTTTATCATCTACTGCGATTAATATTAGAGTAAAAACGTATTCTCAAAAAATAAACTACTTTTCGTGGTGTAATATGAATTATAATGTCTCCTCCTGACAAATGTTCGTATGAAAAATACAGTTGTGATACTGGAATATAAACCTTAATAGAGATAAATGATCTAAAAATCCTGTCGGCTTTTTTACCCAAGCATGTCGTTGCCCACATTTCTCATAAAGTGTGATTACCCAAACACAAGATTTATTGAAATATACAAATAAAAATCCATTCTTGAAAATGTGTGGATATGAGAAATATTGACAAATTCTTAAAAGTAGTAAAATGTTATTGACGTGAACCACAAGGAAATTTTTTACAGTCAATCTCAATAAGCCGAACCACTATAAACTGATTTTCGCTTTATACCGATGCAAAATTAGTTCCCAAAAACATAATGAATAAACCAATTTTAAACTTCGTCTTATAATTACCTTAAGAGTAAATATCTACACCAAGGCTGGCAACGTAAAGGGGTTAAAAAACCTAATTTAACAATAATTGTTGACTAAACTTGACTCAACATATGACTAATTAGTTTAGTCGGTTTAGCCAGATGCTCATTGAGTTGCGTGGCTAGCCCTGACTAATACTAGTGAGTGTCCGATGATCATGCAAATCACTCAGAGTACAAAACATTAGATCTGTTGTTATACATAATTTAATTCTTATTCTTTGACATCCCGAGCCTTGATCCTCTCATTTTCTCTCTTTTATTCACACGTACAAAATTCTTGTTAATAATGTTTATAAATAAAAATAAATTAATTTCAAAACTTTTTATTGATATGTATTAAATAATAATAATGTAGCGCGTGATTATCATATATCTTTTTTTTTGTTGGCTGAATGCGGAGTAAATAGTGAGCACTATATTACTGGTAATGAATAAATTTATGTACACAAACGTTACGCATATGCTATTCTTTATTAGACAACGTGCACCATAGAAATATTCATTCTATAATAATATTACTTTACCATAAAGACAGTAAAAGATTAATAAACAAACGTCAGTCCGAAAATTTTAAAATCTAGACCTATTTAATATAAGTAATTTATCATTGTATTACGCAAAGTGCAATACAATGCATAGTGACGACATAGCCGTATCGTAACTATGAGTTATTTTAGTTCGGCATATGTCTGCACTCTTCCTTATTCATTGTATTGGTTTACTTAATAATTGATTGCTCTTCCTTTTTTTTTTTTATACCTATTTGTTGTTCGTGCTTTCGATTTACATGTATGATTCTTTAGTACGAAAGTTCTACTACAGTAAATCTCGATTAGCGAACCTTGATTTAATATATCCTTATTAAAAGTCTTGATTTGACAGAATGAGGAGGTCCAAGAATAGTGTAATAACTTATAAATTTTTCTCGATATAACAGACATTTGGAAATTTTCAAATTATCCGTTATATCGAGATTTCATTTAAAATTATAAACTAACCAAGTGTGCAAAGAAAAAAATTTATGTCGTGTGACAACAATTGCGTTATTATAGGTCCCAGAACTCACTTTACTTTTTGGGAAAACTGAAAATACTAAATGGGTTTCACGATCTTAATTAATTAATTAATTATTATCCGTTGTTTCATAAAACTAACTATTCATTCAAAACAAAATTTTCACATTTTGTTAGTTTAAAATAAAATAGTTTTTTTTTCTTTATTATTATAATAAATTTTTTCTTTTAATGGATTATATGTATATATAATACAATGGGCTTGATCCAATCTCGTTTGATAAATAATTACTACACAAATATTTTATTATACAAATTCACACATTTTCACAAATATCTTTAACAAAATTCCAAGCGATGAGTGGCCTTGTACAATTAAATTTACTTTTTCCGACACAGTTATAAATTCATAATTGCCTAAATTCATGGAACCAATGCCTCTGGCTTTTTGTGTGAAATCTTGACATATATTGTGTAACCATTAAAATTTTTATCGAAACTCTTATCCTTTTATAGAAAAGCATCTTTGATGTCATTTCCTGATTCTCATATATATCTGCATCCATAATTCATCTATGAATTTGACTGTAGCAGGAAATGAGTTGACTTGCCTCAATCCATTTTAATTACCATGCCTGAATCAAGCGTTAAATTGATGGTTTAGTAAGATAACTATATGGAAAGTAATATGAAGATGAAATTTAAATATGTAGAATATTATATAAAATGAATGAATTAATATATATCTTTATATAAATTATTATCACTATAGAAAGATGAGTGCATTTGCGTTGCAGTTCCAGAAATAATAATTTTTGAAGCATGTATTGAAGTATTGGATTTCGCAGTATATTAATATTAATATGGAATTATTGAGGAGGATACGTACGTTTGTTTATTTAACTTATCGTCATCACCTGCAATTGCGTGTTCATCTATGGCAAAAAAAATTTTTTGTCGATCATTAACAGTTAGATCAACGAAAAATTTTTCACTTTCAGTAATAATCGTAATTGTAAAACCAAAATAAAATTCAATATGGAATTCTTTTATCTAAAATGATATATGACCCTGAACCAAATTTTCCTGGTAATTGAAATTGAACATGGTGTTCTTTACAAAAAAAAAAATATAGCACGGAAAATTTTTCTAAATATGGAGTGGATAAAAATAAAAAGATCATCGGAAAACTTTACCGCAAATTAAAACTAGCTTTTGTACAGGTGTATTATCACTTTAAAGAAATGCGACTGAGGTGCATGAATGTATTTATTTATTTATTTTAATGATTACAAAAAGATAGTTTTTCGTCCTTGTGAAGAATTCCTGAAGGATATCCCTTGACCTTCTTATCAAGTAACAAGCCGCACCAATTGAAAACGTCATCGTGAACATTCATAATTACACATAGAATCCATTATGTGTGGATGTATTTTAGGAATTTGTTATTAAATATACATATATATATATGCTGTGCCTTAAATAGAAATGACCACAAATTTGGAATAGAAAGTACAGCCGATGCACATAAACAAGCCAAAGAAAAATTGTTTAATAAAAAGATCTGGGGAAAGTTTTGGAAGAATATATTAATTTTTTGAGGCAGGTTTTTTATTATCAGATTGATTATAAAATCACATTTATTATATAAATAAACAATATTTCCCAATTAAGAAACTTGGAATTTTAAATAAATAATATAAATTAAAAGGAAGAATACTGTGTATTATTAACTTCAGTTCCACAATTATTAATAACCAATCACAAATATGGATAAAAGGAAATAAAAAATTCAAAAATAATTTATTTTTCGATTTTATTTTTTATTTTTTAAAACTTTTTAATTGAAAATAATACATAACAACATTCATTCCATATGTTTGCCTTCTGCTAGCTATTTTTTTTAATAATTATTAATATTAATGATAATTTCGTCATTCGGACTTGAGTGATCTTCTTCTCTTTTTATATATTCAGTATAATTCCATATTTTATTCTAATCAAATATAGACAATTCTTTTTATATACAAAACCTAATTTATCACCTGAAATAACAGTTTAAAAAGACCCCAGCTTAGAGTTTCGCCCACTTTTTTATTTTTTTTCTCCTTATAATTAAAAAAATTAAATATTTTTTTAATTATTAAATATATAATTTTATATATATTTATATAGCAGCAAATAGTAATAATAATTATACTAGCAACAAAATTTAAAGTTTTTTGATTTTTTTTTTTTTAAAATTTTATTTCAAAACAAAATCAAAATCAAAGAATTTTATCAAAAAAAATAAAAATAAAAATAACAACATGGAGTTTTAATCGTTTTTTTTTAAAAAAAAACAAATCTAGATATTTTTTAGAAATATTAATATATAGTAACTAATTTTTTTTTTGTTCGTTGAACGAAACAAGGATTTTTTAAAATTTTATTTGTATCAGTATATATACACATATATATATATATATATACATACATACACATACACGCACAAATTATATATATTAATCATCAGTAGTAACGTCATCATCTTAATCAACATTTCATCATCCATCATCAATGAGTTTAAAAATTGTTAACACCGCTAGCAGCAATATTAATAATAACAACAACAACAATAATAATAAGAACAATACTTCATTTTTATTAATTGTATTCCATAATAATAAATCTGGATTAAATAAAAGCACTCCAACCGTTGCTTTAAGTAATACTGTAGCATATCGTTTTAACAAAAATAATAATAATAATAATAATAATAATAATAATAATAATAATAATAATAGTAAGAATAATAACAAAAAATTTATCATGGCTAATAATAATAAGAATGACAAATTTACTATTCCTTTAGAAAGAAGAGTAAAATCATTAGATGTAAAATATTTCAAAAATAATCAAAATAATCAAAATAATTCAAAGAAAGTTTCTTGGTATAAATTATTTTTTGTTAAAATTCATCATACATTTTTCAAATGGAATGATGATGTTGATGATAATAGTGATGATGATGATGATAATATTATTAATAATAGAAGAAATAATCAATTGAATAATAGTAATGTTGATGTTGATAAAGATATTAATACTAATATCATTAAAAATCAAGAAATTATTAATAATGATAGTAAAGAAAGTATCCAACAAACAAAGGATCAAGAGAAAAATGAAAAATTAAAAGAAAGTGAAAAAAATAGCAATAATAATAATAATAATAATAATAAAAATAATAATAATAATAAAGAAAGTAATACAGAGGAAGTTGACAACAAACTCTTTATAATTAAAGAACTAAATCATCCACCAAATGTCGATAATGATGACGAAGTTTCTTCAATTCCTTCAATAACTTCAATAAATACCACATCTACATCCACGTCATTATCGTCGTCACCGTCTACATCAACAATATTTGAAATATACGCACAACTTCCACGTCGTTTTAGTAATGAAGTTGAAGTATTAGGCAAAGTTGGTAGATTTACTATTGTGCGTGAACGTGAAGATTACGATACTACAAAATTTGATCAATGTCATTGTATACAAAAACCTTGTCCTTACTCATTGGAAGGTGGAAGACATCCACCCCCTCCTCCGAAATTAAATTCAAATGTCATAAACAATAATAAAAATTACAATTACAATATTAATAACAACGGTTATATCAACAACAATAATAATAATTACAATAATCTTAGTAATTATTTATCGAATCCGATATCATCATATTACGATAATCAAATCAATATAATTAATCCATTTTTAAATAATTCAAATTCCTCAAATTCAACGGCAATCTCTTCAAATAGTTTATACGTACAAACAACTTCTTTCCCAAATTCTGCGACAAGACATTCTTTACCCTCAATCAAAAACAACCATTTCAATATTAACAACAACAACAACAATGGTGATGTATATAATATAAATAATAGGAATAAAGACCATAATAAAAATACTCCAACAGCTGCTTCTGCCCCAACTATTTCAAATCAAAATCAGAAACAACAACAAAAATTACATCAACAACAACAACAACAACAACAACAACAACAACAACAACAACAACAACAACAACAACAACAACTGCAAAGAAATATTACAAATCAAATAAAATCAAATAATTATACTAATATTAGTAATAATGTTAAAATAATACCTACAACTGTCTCTACCCCTTCTTCATCGTCAACTTCTAATTCTACTACTACTGGCAATCCACAACCAAATCCTATCTCCACAATAAATACCACCACTACTTCTACCTCTTCCGCCCTAATCTCACCTACTACCACAACTAATAATAATCAAACACCAATTCCATCAACCTCTTCCGCTTCATCTTCGTCAAAAAATGGCGGTCCATTTCAATTTGAGTTACACAAAACAATAAATTCTCATTCTGGTAGAAAATTTGAAGTCGACTTTTATTCTTCTTCCTCCACCGTCAACACTGCCACCATCTCTTTAACAAATTCTTCGACTTCCTCCACTTCCACAACAACATCGTCTTCTTCGTCTTCTTCTTCTTCTTCTTACTTATTTGATACTTTTGCAACTTCTCCAGCTTCAACTATTAATAGTCTATTCAGTATGACTTCAAGTCCACCGCAGTCACATGACACTTCTTTAATTAATATTTATAATAATTGTAATAATAATAATACTGGCAATATTAACAATGGTGCAAATACCAATAATGTAAATAGCAACAACAACAATACTACTACCACCAATAATAATAACAACAATATTAATGTAAATCGTAGTTTTAGCACTTTAAGTAAAGGTGGAAGAAAATTTGAAGTAACTTCAAATTCATAATTGTTTTAATTTTTCCTTTTGGGAGAGTATTTTTTTTTTAGAATTTTTTTTTTATTTGTAAATATTTTTTTAATTTCATAATAAATAAAAAAAAGGATAAATAAAACAATGTATAGAAAAAAAAAATAAAGTGTTATATAAGCTAACATTAAAAACATGATTTATTCATTCGATTCTCATTAAAAGTTTTGATATTTAACAAGTAAACCTTATTACACTAAATCAGGAAGATCCAAATCCTCCCTATAGCTAATTGTGGCTTCATAGAAAGTCATCATTGCTGCTGCTGCCACCAGCTAGATAGTGGTAGTAGTAGTATCCGTCGGATATTCGGATATTCGCCGATCATCCTTTTACTTTCACAAAATTTTGATATCCGAATACTCAATCGTCAAATAATTTTGACATCCGGATACCCGAATATCCGTCCAATATCCGTCAAATATCCGTCGATATTAATGTCTCAATATAATAATAACGAATTTACTAGTTAAATCTCGGTATAACGGATTTTTAATTAATTCTTACAGTGTAGTCAGATAAAAAAAATTATTATTCATCCAAAATTTTTATAACAATAAATATAAATACATTTATTAATCAAAGAAAATTTTATAACAATAAAAGATAATTTTATATATTTATTAATCAAAGAATTTTTCTACATCAACCATGTTTTTTTTAAAAAAAACTATTTGTTCAAAAAGAATTGGATCGAGTTTTGTTCTTTTAGCTGTCAATGTATTGCCAGCATCACTGAACAATCGTTCACTCAGTGTAGAAGTAGCAGATACACATAAATATTTTCTTGCAACTTTAGCTAATGTGGGGGAAATTATTTTTTTGGTTTTTCCACCAGATAAATGGATCTTGATCCCATTTTAATTCATCTAACATGAAATAGGATGATAACTAAATAATTTATATTAAATAATTTAATTATAATTTTAATTTAAAAAATGAATAATTAATGAATTAAATGAATTTAATTTTAATTAATTGGTTGTTATTGACATGAGAGTTCTCATCTTGATTTTCCTCTAATTCAATAATAATAATATTATTATTACTCATTTTTTAATAATTATTATTATACTATTATTTATTATTAATGCCACCACTATTATTATTATTTATCATTAACACCATCCACTATTACTATTACTATAATATTATTATTCGTTATTAATACCACCACTAATACTATTGTTAAAATTTTTTTTTAAAGGAATGAACTTTTTTTTCACCACGAATATTTTTATTTTTAAATTTTTTGTATCACGGATATTCGCGGATATTCAAAATATCCGTCGATCAACCGTGAGATAAAATTGATATCCGGATGGTCGCGGATATTCACGGATATTCACGGATATTCACGGATACTATCCGACGGATATAACCACTACAGCTAGACATATCCTGCCACAGTTAAAATGTCAGCAGAGAGGTCAGTAAGTCCCCCTTATAAATGGATCAGGTCTCTCTCCATAAGTGTTTGTGTGCAAACAAATGTTCCTTATCTCAATTCCAATGTGTCAGACAGACTGAATTGCAGACTCTGACAGACCAGAATTTTTGAAGCTTATCAAACCACCCATCACACAAAGAACAGACTGAGGAAGTACGGAACTCATCAATGTTCACCATCCTGCAGTGTCTAGAAAGCTCCTGGCGAAATTCTTTTACAGGGCCTGGTGCATGCCCATGTGATGTTGATGAGAATTTACCATCACCAAATGCAACAACTGTACTGTCACCATTGCTATTTGTTATTCTCTTGCAC